TGGGTGTCCTTTTTTGAGATTGCGGTGACTGCACAGTGTTGCTGGGAAAAAAAAACCCATGCCAAAAATACAGCTGTGCAGGTTATCGCATCTCCGCCTGCAAACTTTCCAGCACCGCAATTATCATTTGGCGCCCAAGTTTCACTCTGCGGTATTTGAGCTTAACATTCTCTTCCCCTTTTATCCCCCAAAATAATTTTTCAGCTTTTCAGCTGGCTGCTTCACCCTGCCTTCCCCCTCCAAGTCTCACTCAACTTTCCACCAGTCTGTAATTTAACATTTATTTGGGAAAAAAGCAATCACAATAGCACTTACATACCTCTTCACCATGCTTTACAGTCCTCTCTAAGCGGTTTACAGAGTCAGCATCTGGGTCCTCGTTTTTACCGACCTTGGAAGGACGGAAGGCGGAGTCAACCTTGAGTCGGCCAGGATCGAACTGCTGGCAGTGAGCAGAGTTAGCCTGAAACACTGCATTCTAATCACTGTGACACCACGACAAACGCACACAGTGGCGGGAAGCGCTGATTCTTTCTACTGATCAGAGCTGGCCGAGAAAACAAGCTTGTTGAAGCAGGTTTGGGAGCCACCGTTCTGAGCTACCCACTGGACTACACCCCCCCATCCTCCCCAGCCACCAGAGACAAGGAGGGCTGGTTCGAGATGGGATGATTGGCGGCCCAAATCACGGAGGCTACCAAAAGCAGAGCGACATATGTGTGTGGACAGTTTATCAGAAGCACGCAATCATTCTCGGGTCTGGTCACGCAGCAGTCAGTGGTTATGGCATGTCCTGCCTTTGGGATTTGAATTTTGTTGACCTCAAGCTTATAAGCTTACGTGTTAAAACAGTGGGAGCGAACCTATGGCACGCGTGCCAGAGGCGGCACTCCGAGCCCTCTCTGTGGGTACTTGCACCGTCGCCCCAGCCCCACCTCCCCCTGTGGCCCCCTCCTCACCAGCAGCCCCCCCCAGAGGAGAGTCACCCCTGAGCACAGCTCACGCGGAGTAGCTCAGCCAAGGACATGGCAGCTGGGCAGCGGGGGACAAGACTCCGCCCTCGTGCCCTGTCGCGCGCAGATGATGCTGCGGGGTGCAGGCGGAGGGCCTGGCCACCATGGCGCTGCTGGGCCACCTGGGCAATCGGTGGAGGCAGTGGGTGGCCCTGTGGACGGGCAGAGCTGGGGTAGGTTGGGAGCGGGTGGGACGGGGCGGAGTGGGAGTGGAGCGGGGGCAGGCGGGGCATTTTTGGGGCACTCGGTCTCTAAAACAGTGGTTCTCAACCTGTGGGTCGGGACCCCATTTGGGGTCGAATGACCATTTCACGGGGGTCGCCAAACAACGCAGTCCGCCATTTTTTTCCCCCTTTTCCTTAGCTGTGCTACTCCCTTTTATTCTATTGGCTTTTGAAAGCCAATAGAATAGACTCTCTTGAATAGAGTCTAATTCTATTGGCTTTCAAAAGCCAATAGGAATTGTCCAGGCTGTCTCTGCCCTGCTGAGCCCGCCAAAAATCCCATTCTGCAAACGGTGCTGCACCAGTTGAGTAGTCCTCGACTTATGACCGGTTGAGTAGTCCTCGACTTACGATCGGTTGGGGGTCGCGGCATTAAAAAGGTTGAGAACCACTGCTCTAAAAGGTTCGCCATCACTGTGTTAAGATAATACGCAGGTAGTCCTCGTTTTATGGCCACAATTGGAAGCAAAACATTTATGTTGCTAAGCAAGGCGGTTAGTGAGTTGCACCCAAGTCCTCGTCTTACAACAGTTCATCCCGTAACCGTTCAAAGTTACAACAGCCCTGAAAAAAAGGGACTTAATGACCGTTTTTCTCCCTTGTGACACTTGCAGCATCCTCCGTGGTCCCGTGATTTACATGCTCGACAACTGGTTCGTATTTATGACGGTTTGCAGCATTCCGGGACCTTCAGAGAGAATCGGGATCCATCTTAGTTGCTTGGATTGGACGTTTCTCATTTTTATTTACACCGGGGTGTATTTTAAGTATCACGTGATCCCCTTTTGCGATCTTCGGACCAGCCGAGTCAATGGGGAAGCCGGATTCACTTAACAACGGGTGACTCGTTGAGCAACCGCAGCGATTTCCTTAACGACGGTGGCCAGAAAAGTTGTAAAATGGGGCAAATGTCACTTAGCAAAGTAAAATCCCGGGCTGGTCATGAGTGGAGGACTACCTGTAGGCAACCGTTTTGTTAAGCAAATCACTGCACCTGTTAAATAAATCACATTGTTGTTAAGCACATCTAGCTTCCATTTATCGCAGTGGTTCTCAACCTTTTTAATGCCGCGACCCCCCAACTGGTTGTAAGTCTAGGACTACTCAACTGGTGCAGCACCGTTTGCAGAATGGGACTTTTGGCGGGCTCAGCAGGGCAGAGACAGCCTGGACAATTCCTATTGGCTTTTGAAAGCCAATAGAATTAGACTCTATTCAAGAGAGTCTATTCTATTGGCTTTCAAAAGCCAATAGAATAAAAGGGAGTAGCACAGCTAAGGAAAAGGGGAAAAAATGGCGGACTGCGTTGTTTGGCGACCCCCGTGAAATGGTTGTTTGACCCCAAATGGGGTCCCGACCCACAGATTGAGAACCACTGATTTATCGACTTCGTTCATTAGAAGCCAGCCAGGAAAGTTGCAGATGAAGATCACATGACCCTGGGATACTGCAAAAGCCGTAAGTCTCTTTTTTTCAGTCTTGTTGTAACTTTGAATGGTGCTAAACTCATGGTGGAACAGCTTGTGTCACAAATGAAGGTGAATATATGTGTCCCAGGATAATTTTTCTGGGATCCAATCTATGTCAGCCGATCACCGGGACTGGAAGTTTAATAATAATAATAATAAAATTGGAAGGGACTTTGGAGGTCATCTAATCCAACCCCCTGCTTAGGCAGGAAACCCTATACTATTTCAGACAAATGGCTGTCCAGTCTCTTCTTAAAAACCTCCAGTGTTGGAGCATTCACTACTTCTGGAGGCAGGTGGTTCCACTGGTTAATTGTTCTAACAGCCAGGAAGTTTCTCCTTAGTTCTAGGTTGCTTCTCTCCTTGATCAATTTCCATCCGTTGCTTCTTGTCCTGCCTTCAGGAGCTTTGGAGAATAGCTTGACTCCCTCTTCTTTGGGGCAGCCCCTGAGATACTAGAAGACCGCTATCATGTCCCCCCTCCTCCTTCTCTTCATTAAACTAGACATACCTAAGTCCAGCAACCGTTCTTTGTATGTTTTAGCCTCCAGTCCCCTGATCATCTTTGTTACTCCTCTCTTCACTCTTTCTAGAGTCTCAACATCTTTTTTACATCGTGGCGACCAAAACTGGATGCCGTATTCCAAGTGTGGCCTTACCAAGGCCTTGGAAAGCGGTATCAACACTTTGCGTAATCTTGATTCTATCCCTCTGTTAATGCAGCCTAGCACTGTGTTGGCTTTTTTTCCGCAGCTGCAGCACACAGCCGGCTCCTATTTAAGGGATTGTCCATTGTTTAGTTTTCCCAACATTTTGAATTGTGCTGGAGCCCATCCTCCGGCAACTTCTCTCCATTGGAAGAGAGGAGACCCAAACTCATTGGTCACCTCCCATTGCCATGAATGACATACATTCAATTTCCCAGCTACAAAGATTGTTGGCCGAGCAAGCACAAAAACAGCCAGGGAAATGATGGAAGGCTGGGAAAGGGGTCCCTTGTCAATCAACGGGAGTGCTGATGTAACCCCCCCTGCTTATCAAGGACTTAGGAACCAAGGCCTTGGCAGCACAAGGAAACAACAGCCAATCACCTGCCATCAACACACCAATCAATCAATAGGAAGGCGCCACCTAAATACGAAGCATAGAATAGCCCAAAGCACATATTCTGCTAGAGACAGAAGAAAAAGTCTGAAAGCTTGGAACTGGTGACCCAGATTGGATCCTGGAACGGCTTATCCTCAGAAGTTGTGGGTGCTTCTTCATCACCAGAAGGCAAGACAAGAAACAAAAGAGAATGGAAATGAATCAAGGAGAGAAGCAACCTGGAATGAAGGAGAAACTTCCTAACAGTGAGGACAATTAACCAGTGGAACAGCTGGCCTCCAGATGTTGTGGGTGCTTCATCACCGGAGCTTTTTAAGAAGAGACTGTCTGAAATGATATAGAGTCTCCTGCTTGAGCAGGGGGTTGGACTAGAAGACCTCCAATGTCCCTTTCCAGCTCTATTCTGAAAGATGCTTTGATTTGAGCTATACTTTCCAAAGCACCAGAAGGCAAGACAAGAAACAAAAGAGATGGAAAGGAATCAAGGAGAGAAGCAACCTGGAATTAAGGAGAAACTTCCTAACAGTGAGGACAATTAACCCATGGAATGGTTTGCCACCAGAAATTGTGGGCGCTCCATCACTGGAGGTTTTTAAGAAGAGACTGGACAGTCACTCATCTGAGATGGTATGGGTTCTCCTGCTTGAGCAGGGGGCTGGACTAGAAGACCTCCAAGATCCCTTCTTGAGCAGGGGGCTGGACTAGAAGACCTCCAAGATCTGATCTCTTCTCTTCTCTTCTCTTCTCTTCTCTTCTCTTCTCTTCTCTTCTCTTCTCTTCTCTTCTCTTCTATTCTACTCTACTCTACTCTACTCTACTCTATTCTATTCTATTCTACTCTACCCTACCCTACCCTACCCTACCCTACTCTACCCTACTCTACTCCACTCCACTCCTTCCAATTCCATTCCATATTTTCTATTCTATTCTATTCTATTCTATTCTATTCTATTCTATTCTATTCTATTCTATTCTATTCTATTCTAGTATCACCTCAATGTTTCTCTAGTATCATCTCAACCTATAGTCCTTGACCCATGCATAACTCCCATCTGGGTGGAATTAAGGAGAAACCTGGAATTAAGGAGAAACGTCCCGACAGTGAGGACAATTAACCAGTGGACCAGCTGGCCTCTAGAAGTTGTGGGTGCTTCATCACTGGAGGTTTTTAAGAAGAGACTAGACAATCACCTGACTGAGATGGTATAGGTTCTCCTGCTTGAGCAAGGGGCTGGACTAGAAGACCTCCAAGGTCCCTTCCAGCTCTATTCTGATTGATTGATTAATTGTAAGTTGAGGACTATCTGTATTCTTTTATGGGTTGGAACCCAGGGCCCGTGGACTCGTGAAAAGCCCTGACAAAGAGTCAGCTTTCCAGGTGTGATGTTCTACCTCTGCCTTGCCCCTGAAAGGTCACGTGGTCGATGCTTTCGTAGAAATTTTCAGTCACCGTATTCTTTTTGGCCTTTTTTGGTTTCTTCTTCCCCTTGTTCCAGTAAGTGTCCACAGGCTCATAAGCCGGCTCAGCCATTGGCTGGCTTGCAACCTCGGGCCAGGATTCGCACGGCACAGATTCATAGTAAGGCTCAGTAGCGGTGGAGAGCACTGAGGACTGGAAACTTGCAATGCCGTTGGATTCCTGATTGACTGTTATCCCCTGGGGATGGCCTGACTTCACCTCTGCTTGGGGGTCTCTCTCTTTGCCGGGCCTTTCAGAGCGTTCGCCTTTCTTCTTCTTTTTCTCTTTGCACACCACCGAGTACATTTCTTCGATCTGAAAAAGAAAGAGCCCAGGTAGTCCTCGTTTAGGGACGGTTAATTCTGGTCATTAAGTGAAACACTGCCATTTTATCATCTTGCTCCAGCCTTTTTGTTTTCGCTTTATGAACCTGCTGGAAATTTACACATCAGGGTGTTTCCTCAGCAAGGCTCTAGAGCACTGGGTCTCCAGATGAAGACTTGTGGACTTCAACTCCCAGAATTCCTCAGCCAGCCATGCTGACTAGGGAATTCTGGGAATTGAAGTCCACAAGTTCAAGTTGTCCACAAGTTCAACTCAGGGGCTGCCCCAAAGAAGAGGGAGTCAAGCTATTCTCCAAAGCGCCTGAAGGCAGGACAAGAAGCAACGGATGGAAACCAATTAAGGAGAGAAGCAACCTGGAACTAAGGAGAAACTTCCTGACAGTTAGAACAATTAACCAGTGGAACAACCTGCCTCCAGAAGTGGTGAATGCTCCAACACTGGAAGTTTTTAAGAAGAGACTGGACAGCCATTTGTCTGAAATGGTATAGGGTTTCCTGCCTGAGCAGGGGGCTGGACTAGATGACCTTCAAAGTCACTTCCAACTTCATCATCATCATCACTATTACTATTACTACTACTACTATTTATTATTATTATTATTATTGATCATCGCACAGTCAGCCAAATGTTCAGACTGGATTTGGCATTTTGTCTACCTATCGAGTCCTTACCCAGGACCTGGGATAGGCAGATGTGGATGTTTGATGGTATTACAGGTATCGTAGCAGGATGGAAGCAGTTCCTAGCAAGGCCTCCTTTTGCAATTGACTAATAGCGAATTTGTCAATGCCAATGGTGTTCAAGTGGTGCTCCAGTTGTTTTGGGATTGCACCCAAGGTGCTTATTACTATTGGTACTACTCTTGCTTGCTTTTGCCACAATCTTTCTATTTCTATTTATAGATCTTTGTATTTTGTTATCTTCTCCAGTTCTTTCTCGTCTATTCTGCTGTCTCCAGGCACTGCCACGTCCACTATCCAGACTTTTTTGTCTTTTTTATCGACAATTGTTAAGTCCGGGGTGTTATGTTGCAGGTGCTTGTCTGTTTGAATTCTGAAGTCCCAGAGCAATTTAACTTTATCATTTTCTATGACTTTCTATCATTATTATTATTAGTAGTATTAGTATTAGTATTGCTATTATTGCTACTGCTGCTACTGGTGCTGCTGCTGCTGCTGCTGCTGCTGCTACTACTACTACTACTACTACTACTACTACTACTATGTCCAGAATTCTTCAGCCAGCCGTTCTACAACAGAAACTTCAGGCTCAGTTGCGGTCATAAATCGAGGACCACTGGTCCATTGAATAAATGAATAAATAAATGATGACTGGTCCCTAAACTAAAGGCCATCAGGGGAGGACTAGTCCTACTCAGAGGGTGCTCAGGAGAGGAGATCTAACCGCCATTCTTGGACAGAACAAAAACATTTCTCTTGAAGGCCACTGAAAAACATCTCCTACCGCTTTCGTTGGTGGAGGAGGCCACATTTTGGCGGGAAGAGGCATCTCTTGAGGTTCCTCCATCTCCACCCAGGTTTGTTTGCCGTCGGTCTTCTTCATCCTCTTCTTCTTCATCTTCTTCTTCACAACACATGCATAGCTGGGTCCAGCTGCTTGTGCCTGGTAGCTCGGGACGTTCTCCGCTATCTTATCCGCTGCCGGATGACCGTTCTTGCTTTCTTCTCCCTCGACTTTCCTGGATTCACACGGGGTCTCCTCGCCTCGTTTTGGAAAGCTCAGATTGGAGTAGGTCATCCCAGGAGAAGGCGGGAGGGTGGAAGGAGGAGGAAACTGAGGAAGGATGAGGAAACTGCAGCCGCCCAACGTGCCGCCATCTTTGTTCGACGGGTGAGGGAGAGTCAGAGGGGCTGATCTAATGACTGCAAAGGGAAACACACGGAGGGTTTAGGACAGGGGTCTCCAAACTTGGCAACTTTAAGATTTGTGGACTTCGACTCCCAGAATTCCACAGCTAATCTATGCTGGTGGTGGTGGGGAATTCTGGGAATTGAAGTCCACAAAGTTAGCTGGCTAGGGAATTGTGGGAACTGGTCCCCAAGTCTTAAAGTTGACTGGCTGAGGAATTCTGGGAATCGAAGTCCCCAAGTCTTAAAGTTGGCTGGCTAAGGAATTCTGGGAATCGAAGTCCCCAAGTCTTAAAGTTGGGTGGCTGGAGAATTCTGGGAGTTGAAGTCCCCAGGTCTTAAAATTGGCTTGCTGAGGAATTCTGGGAACTGAAGTCCCCAAGTCTTAAAGTTGGCTTGCTGAGAAATTCTGGGAACTGAAGTCCCCAAGTCTTAAAGTTGGCTCGCTGGGGAATTCTGGGTGTTGAAGTCCCCAAGTCTTAAAGTTGGCTTGCTGAGAAATTCTGGGAACTGAAGTCCCCAAGTCTTAAAGTTGGCTCGCTGGGGACTTCTGGGTGTTGAAGTCCCCAAGTCTTAAAGTTGGGTGGCTGGAGAATTCTGGGAGTTGAAGTCCCCAAGTCTTAAAGTTGCCCAAGTTAGGAGACCCCTGATCTAGGACCAGCACATTTCGGGTCCCTAAAAAGGGTCTTTGGCTGCCTCAAAAGAACAACCTAAGACCTCATTTGAGGTTGAACAACCTGTTTATTTTTTTTTTTCTGCAGCCCTCATCCTAAAATGACTGGCTCTTGAGACGGGAAACCCACAACAATTAACAGAAACTTGGCCGAGTTTTTAAAAAGAAAAAATTCACACACACACACACACAAACATGCCAAAGGAACAGGAAACCCGCAACAATTGTAATAGAAATTTAACAAACTTTTTAAAACAAGCCCCCCCCTCTCTCTGACCTGTCCCCTCCTGCCCCCAATCCCAATAAAGATAGTCCTCAATTTAACAACCATCCGTTTAGTGCAGTGGTTCTCAACCTGTGGGTCGGGACCCCATTTGGGGTCGAACGACCATTTCACGTGGGTCGCCAAACAGCGCAGTCCGCCATTTTTTTCCCCCTTTTCCTTAGCTGTGCTACTCCCTTTTATTCTATTGGCTTTTGAAAGCCAATAGAATAGACTCTCTTGAATAGAGTCTAATTCTGTTGGCTTTCAAAAGCCAATAGGAATTGTCCAGGCTGTCTCTGCCCTGCTGAGCCCACCAAAAGTCCCATTCTGCAAACGATGCTGCACCAGTTGAGTAGTCCTCAACTTACGACCGGTTGAGTAGTCCTCGACCTACGACCGGTTGGGAGTCGCGGCATTAAAAAGGTTGAGAACCACTGGTTTAGTGACCGTTCAAAGGTACAATGGCACTGAAAAAAGGCAACTTATGACCGGTCCTCGCATTTATGATGCTTGCTGCATCCCCGTGGTCACATGAAGAAAATTCCGACGCTTGGCAACCGCACACATTTAGGACAGTTGCAGGGTCCTGAGTTCAAGTGTCGGTCCTTTTGTGACCTTCTCAGATGGCTTCCGATAAGTAAAGGGAAGGCTGGACAGCCAGATTCACTTAACGACCACGTGATGCACTGAACAACGGCAGTGATTTTCTTAACAACCCTGGCAAAAAGCTTGTACAATCGGGCGTGATTCGTTCAACAACTGCTTTGCTTAGCGAGAGAAATCCTATTCCAGCTACGGCCATAAAGTGAAGACCATTTGTAGGAAACCTGTTTCATGGAGAAACGAACTCGGGGAACTCCCAAAACTCTTCCCAAATTCTGATCTGCCTCTTGTCTTCTCTCCCTAACCCAGGGGTAGGCAACTTTGGCTCTTTTATGACTCATGGACTTCAACTCCCAGAATTCCTGAGCCAGCCACACTGAGGGAAAAGGGAGAGGTTTCCAAGCTGAGCCAGGCTGGCCTAGGAATTCTGGGAGTTGAAGTCCACAAGTCATAAAAGAGCCAAGGTTGCCTACCCCTGGCCTAGTCCATTGTTTCTCCATCTCAGCAACTTTAAGAAGTGTGGACTCCAACTCCCAGAATTCCTGAGCCAGCCACACTGAGGGAAAAGGGAGAGGTTTCCAAGCTGAGCCATACTGGCTCAGGAATTCTGGGAGCTGAAGTCCGCAAGTCATAAGAGAGCCAAAGTTGCCTAGCCCTGCCCAAATGCCTGAATTTTGATCACGTGACCGTGAGGAAAAAAATATTTAAATATTTAAATTAGGGGTCTTCAAATTTGGCTCTTTATGACTCGTGGACTTCAACTCCCAGAATTCCTGAGCCAGCCATGCTGAGGGGAAAGGGAGAGGTTTCCAAGCTGAGCCAGGCTGGCTTAGGAACTCTGGGAGTTGAAGTCCACAAGTCATGAACGGGCCATAGTTCCCCCACGCTGACTCAGGAATTCTGGGAGTTGAAGTCCACAAGTCTTAAAGTTGCCAAGATTGGCGACCTCTGGTCTAGGCCATGGGTAGGCAACCTTGGCTCTTTTATGACTCGTGGACTCCAACTCCCAGAATTCCTGAGCCAGCCACGCTGAGGGGAAAGGGAGAGGTTTCCAAGCTGAGCCATGCTGGCTCAGGAATTCTGGGAGTTGAAGTCCACCAGTCATGAGGGGGCCATAGTTCCCCCATGCTGGCTCAGGAATTCTGGGAGTTGAAGTCCACGAGTCATAAAAGAGCCAAGGTTGCCTACCCCTAACCACCCGCCCCCCGATTCTGAGAAGAAACCGTCCAGCTACTTACTTGCATCCCCTGAATCGCTCCCGCTGCTGGGCTGCAGGTTGGGAACTGAACCTCCGAGCGCCAAGGGTGCCATCGGTCCTGTCACAGCCTGCAAAATGACAAGGAAAGCCGGTGATGCAAGGCTCAGAAGCAGGAACCCTCAAGGGAGCCTTCCTGGGACTGGAATTCTGTGCGAACATGTCTCTGGGGTGCTTCCCCCTCTTATCTTTTCCTCTACAACCACAACCCAGTGAGGTAGGCTGGCCAGAGAAAGAGAGTTGGCTGGCTCAAATTTCCCCCGGGTGAGCTTCTATAAGTCTATGGGAGAATTAGAATCCAGATCTCTCTGCGCCTAATCTAGCATCTTCTTTCACTAAACCAGGCTCTATTTTGATCTGAGATAGGAGATAGGAGAGAGAGTGGTGGGATATAAGTAGACAATATAGGCAAATAGATGATATAGATCAGTGATGGTGAACCTTTTAGAGACCGAGTGCCCAAACTGCAACCTAAAACCCACTTATGTATTGTCAAGTGCAGGGTAGTGTGGCCCATTGTCTGGGCATGGCCAATTGGGTGGGCGTGGTTGCAATGTTAATGGAAGAACTGGGTGGGACTAAAAAGTTCAATCAATCAATTCCAACTTTGCGAGTTCTTTTTTTTTTCCACAAGAAGTTGAAATTAATTGATTGAACCTTTTTTTTTTTTTTTTTTTTTTTGCACAAGGTGGTGGAGTCCTAAAGCGAAAAGGTTTTATAAAACCCAGCTGAAGGCCTAGGACTGGGGCAACGGCGCGCGTGCCCACAGAGGGGGCTCCGAGTGCCGCCTCTGGCACCCGTGCCATAGGTTCGCCACCACTGATATTGATAGAAGATAGGTAGGTAAATGATAGATTGGTAGACAGATAATATATTATAGAAGAGATTGATAGATAATAACTATGAAATATTGAGAGACAGAAAGAATTAGAAAATAATAGAGATAGATATAATAGAAGATGGATGGATGGATGGATGGATGGATGGATGGATGGATGGATGGATGGATGGATAGATGGATATATGGATAGACGGATAGACAGATAGATAGATAGATAGATAGATAGATAGATAGATAGATAGATAGATAGAGATAGAGATAATAGATATCTAGATAGATATAATAGAGATGATGTAGATATAGATCGATGATAATTAGATAGCTATCAAAATACCAAGAAATAGAAAATAGATATGAGATAATTAGATAAAGATATAGATAATAGATATCTAGATAGATATAATATAGAGAGATATAGATACGATAGATCAATGATTAGATAGATAGATGATAGATAGATAGAAATGAGAGAGAGAGAGAGAGAGAGAGAGAGAGAGAGAGAAATGAGAGAGATAAATAAGAGAGAGATCAATAGAAGAATATTGTGAAGAGAGGGGGAAAGAGGACGGAAGATGTCTTCTGTCTCATATTTTCTCTATGTTTCTCAACCTTGGCTCCTTGAAGGTATCTGGACTCCAAACCCCAGAATTCCTCAGCTAGCCGCACACCTTCAAGTGGCCCAGGTTGAGAAAGATCACTATGGCAACAGCTGTGAGGTTGAGTGCAATAGCTGGAAAAAACAAAATGGTCACACAAGATAAAATCCTCTCTCTCTTTCTATTTTTTAAGCCTGCCCATGAGGGGGTCCAGAAGCATTCTTGTAAATAAAAACCATGCTAGAGACATACAGAACATAACACAGATATCACAGTCTTACAGAATAATAAGAGCTGGAAGGTCATCTAGTCCAGTGTTTCTCAACCTGTGGGTCGGGACCCCATTTGGGGTTGAACGACCATTTCACGGGGGTCGCCAAACAAGGCTGTCCGCCATTTTTTCCCCCTTTTCTTTGGCCACGCCTCTGGCAACCGGTGATGTATAAGTGGTTGGGGGTCACCACAACATGGGGAACTATATTATGGGGTCACGGCATTAGAAAGGTTGAGAACCACTGATCTAGTCCAACCCCCTGCTCAAGCAAGAGACTCTATATACCATTTTGGACAAATGGCCGTCCAGTCTGTTCTTAAAAACTTCCAGTGTTGGAACATTCACCGCTTCTGGAGGCAGGTTGTTCCACTGGTTAATTGTTCTCACTGGCAGGAAATTTCTCCTCAGTTCCAGGTTGCTTCTCTCCTTGGTTAGTTTCCATCCGTTGCTTCTTGTCCTGCCTTCAGGAACTTTGGAGAATAGCTTGACTCCCTCTTCTTTGGGGCAGCCCCTGAGATACTGGAACTCTGCTATCCTGTCCCCCCTCGTCCTTCTCTTCATTAAACTAGACATACCCAATTCCAGCAGCCTTTCCTTATATGCTTTGGCCTCCAGTCCCCTGATCAGCTTTGTTGTTCTTCTCTGCCTTCTTTCTAGAGTCTCAACATCTATTTTACATCGTGGTGACCAAAACTGGATGCAGGATTCCAAGTGTGGCCTTACCAAGGTGTTATAAAGTGGTATAAGGTATTCAGGTGATCTTGATTCTATCCCTCTGTTAACGCAGCCTAGCACTGTGTTGGCCTTTTTGGCAGCTGCAGCACACGGCTGGCTTATATTGCTGGGACAGTGCTTTGCAGCACCTGCCCCCAATTTATTCTGTTTTTTATATTTTATTATTCCAAAGTTTGTTTATCTGTCACGCTTAAATCAGGACAGGGACAGAGAATATTTTACTAAAGAGGATTCTAGCCCTCATGAACACCCAGAGAATGTAATAGAACAAGGGTCTTCCAACTTGGCCCTTTTATGACTTGTGGACTTCAACTCCCAGAATTCCTCAGCCAGCGTGCCTGGCTGAGGAATTCTGGGAGTTGAAGTCCACAAGTCATAAAAGGGCCAAGTTTGAAGACCCTTGTAATAGAAGATGTGCACTTACAACTTCATCAACCAACTCTTGTTCATCGTCATCCTGGGAAGGAAGGTCACTCTTATCTTTCCTAAATAATACAAAAAGAGGCAGAATTAATTGCCGGATAGTTTCATTGTTTAAATTCTCTACGTTTTTGTTATCCTAGTCCAGAAAATCAGACTGGAATATCTACTCAATTCAAGTGGACATTGCAACAACACATTCGCAAGACCCAAAATAGTTTTTCCCCATCTGGGCATTCTCCAGCCAACCTGACTTTTACAATACAAGAAGTCCTCGACTTACAGCTACAATGGAGCCCGCTATTTCTGCTGCTAAGCGAGACGGTGGTTAGGTGAATTTGGTCTCCCTTTACGACCTTTCTTGTCACAGTTGTTAAGGGAATCGTTGCAGTTATTAATTTAGTAACACGATTGCTAAAGGAATCCAGCTTTCCCCACTGATTTGCTTGTCAGAAGATCGCAAAAGGGGATCACATGACCCCGGGGCACTGCAACCGTCAGGAGTACAAGTCAGTTGCCAAGCATCCTGATTTTGATCACGTGACCCTGGGGATGCTGCAACGGTCGTAAGTGTGAAAAAGCACCATAAGTCACTTTTTTTCAGTGCCATTGTGACTTTGGACGGTCAGTAAGCAAGAGATTGTAAGTCAAGGACTAGTTTATGTGGTGCCACCCACTGCTGTGTACAATTGGGAGGTTCTGGCCAAAATTTGCTCCAGGGTTTACCTTTTGCAGACTGCACAGAAAGCCACAAAACAGGCAGAGAGCAGAGACAGCCCAGCGATGAAGAAGAGGAACCCGCCCACCGGTCCTTCCTCAAAGGCAGACGCCATAAACAGGAGGCTGCAAAGCTGCTTGTCACAGGAAACTGTGGACAAAGAGAAAAAACACCAGGCAAGCACTGAAATACAGGTAGTCGAATAGAATGGAGCTGGAAGGGACCTTGGAGGTCTTCTAGTCCAGCCCCCTGCTCAAGCAGGAGAACCTATACCATCTCAGACAGGTGACTGTCCAGTCTCTTCCTAAAAACCTCCAGTGATGGAGCACCCACGAGAATAGAATAGAATAGAAAATATAAAGTAGAATAGAATAGAATAGAATAGAATAGAATAGAAGAATAGAATAGAATAGAATAGAATAGAATAGAATAGAATAGAATAGAATAGAATAGAATAGAATAGAAAATATAGAGTAGAAGAATAGAATAGAATAGAATCTGGAAGGGACCTTGGAGGTCTTCTAGTCCAACCCCCTGCGCAGACAGGAAACCCTAGACCATTTCAGTCAAATGGCTGTCCAGTCTCTTCTTAAAAACTTCCAGTGTTGGAGCATTTACCGCTTCTGGAGGCAGGTTGTTCCACTGGTTAATTGTTCTCACTGTCAGGAAATTCCTCCTTAGTTCTAGGTTGCTTCTCTCCTTGATTAGTTTCCATCTGTTGCTTTTTGTCCTGCCTTCAGGCGCTTTGGAAAATAGCTTGGCTCCCTCTTCTTTGGGGCAGCCCCTGAGATATTGGAAGGCTGCTATCATATCCCCCCTCATCCTTCTCTTCATTAAACTAGAACTAGACCTACCCAATTCCTGCAGCCATTCTTCATATGTTTTAGCCTCCAGTCCTCTATAATCATCTTTGTTGCTCTTCTCTCTACTCTTTCTAGAGTCTCAACATCTTTTTTACATCATGGCGACCAAAACTGGATGCAGCATTCCAAATGTGGCCTTACTGAGGCTTTGTAAAGCGGTACTAGCACTTCACACAATCTTGATTTGATCCCTCTGTTAATGAAGCCTAGGATTGCCTTGGCTTTTTTGGCAGCTGCAGCACACGGCGGGCTCACATTTAAGGGATTGTGCACCAGGACTCCCAAGATCATAAACCCAACCTAGAAATGGACCAACGGGACTTCCCAGAAGTGAAGAAGACCCGCAGCCATCTTGTAGTGCTCAAAGAGGCAACTTACTTCACCGTTTAGGAGTAGCTGGGAGCCAAAGTCATGCTTGCGATCATGTCCTACTGGGGGATGGCCATTTCTCATAGAGTTTCTCCCAGGTGGACCTTCTCCTGGGCGTCCTTCAAGCCAGACCTCCAGCTTCTGCTTGCAGCTGCTCGCAGCTCTCTCTTGCACCGTTTTCCTGAGAAGGTGTGAAGAGCACCAGCCAAAACAGCGGCGCAGTCAAAGATAAGGGTTGGTTTCCTGCCTACGCCACGCAATTGCAAAGCTGCCTTTGGAAACCAAAAACTGAAAAACACAACAGATCTGGCCAGTAGGTGGGGAGTAAATCATATATACCTTGGAGAATGTCTGTGGAGATTCTCAAGTCATCCAGGTCAGGGTTGTCCCAAAGGAGCTTTTTCCACGAGGCAACTGGACTTTCTTTGTTTTTCCTTTGAAGACGTTTCGCTTCTCCATCCCAGAAGCTTCCTCAGCTCTGACTGGATGGTAGGGGAATGGAAGGATTTATACTCCTTGCAGACAGCTGGTCATTTGCCTTCTTTTAGAGGGTCGTTGAGGCCACCTGGAGGTTTACCTGTCACTTGAATAATGCAAATGGGTGTGGAGCCTTCTTGGAACTGTTGAAAGTGTTGAACTACAACACAGTCCTTTCAGCAGTACCTTGGAGGTCATCTAGTCCATCTCCCTGCTCAGGCAGGAAACCCTATTCCATTTGGGACAAATGGCTGTCCAGTCTCTTCTTAACAACGTCCAGTGTTGGAGCATTCACATCTTCTGGAGGCAGTTTGTTCCACGGGTTAATTGTTCTGTCAATTCTTCTCTCCTTGCTTAGTTTCCATCCGTTGCTTCCTGTCCTGCCTTCAGGCGCTTTGGAGAATAGTTTGACTCCCTCTTCTTTGGGCAGCCCCTGAGATATTGGAACACTGCTATCATGTGCCCCCTCCTCCTTCTCTTCATTAAACTAGACATACCCAATTCCAGCAACCATCAAGCTGTTCTCCAAAGTGCCTGAAGGCAGGACAAGAAGCAACAGATGGAAACGAAGAGAAGCAACCTGGAACTAAGGAGAAACTTCTTGACAGTTAGAACAATTAACCAATGGAACAACCTGCCTCCAGAAGCGGTGAATGCTCCAACACTGGAAGTTTTTAAGAAGAGACTGGACAGCCATTTGTCCAAAATGGTATAGGGTTACCTGCCTGAGCAGGGGGTTGGATTTGATGATCTCCAAGGTCCCTTCCAACTTTATTATTATTATTATTAAACTGAGGACCGATTCATGTTCCCAACCATTTTCATCAGCATCCGACTGTTGATGGGCTTTGTTCCTTCCATGTTGCCAATGTACATTAAAATAAAAAAAAGGAAGGAAAGTAGAAAAGTTCACCGGTGCATTATATTCAAAATGAGAATCTTCCCAATTGGGGAATGAGAACAGCGAAGAAAATTGTGGGGTTTTTTTTTTTCATCTCAAAACAACAAAAAACAAGAGGCCAAGAGGGTCTTTTTAGCAGTTGCGATGGGAATTTGAATTGCACAAACTGCTTGCTGAGATAAAAGGGGGCGAGGGGGGAAACCGCAGTGAGCTATTTTTTTTCCGCTCGAGACGATGCTCGAAAAGGAAACGTGCCCAGGAAACGCGCACCGCGATAACAAGAGTTGCTGCGGTGCGCGACTCCATCGTTGCTCTTTGGCTGCTGCCGATGCCCTTGCTGAGATCTAGCAGCTGCCTCGTTTGCAATAACAGAATGTATAGAGTCCTCGGCTTACATCGGTTCATTTAGCGACCATTTGAAGTTACGACAGCACTGAAAAAAAAAGGACTTCTGTCCGTTTTTCACACTTACTACTGCAACATCATGCGGTCTAAATTCAGACGTTTGGCATCTAGTTCGTATTTATGACGGTCGCCGTATCCTGGGGTCACGCGATCCCCTTTGGCAACTTTCTGACAGGCAAAGTCAATGGGGAAGCCAGATTCACTTTAATGACCCACTTTACAACTGTCATGACTTATGACCATAATGGGCAGGTTTTATTACGGTCGTACTTTCGAGGATTACCTGTAGCTGGAATCAACAGTTTTCAAGTGACCAGAAAGAACTGGTAGAGCCAGTTTGGTCAAGGGGTTAAGGCGCCAGGCTAGAAAACAGGTGAGGTGGCGAGTTCTAGTCCTGCCTTACCCATGAAAGCCAGCTGGGTGATTTTGGGCCAATCGCCAGGAGACAGTGAGTTCTAGTCCCGCCTTAGGATGAGTGTTGGCTGGGTTACTTTGGGCCAATCCAAGGGAGACGGTGAGTTCTAGTCCCGCCTTAGGGATGAAAGCCGGCTGGATGATTTTAGGCCAATCATTGGGAGACGTTGAGTTCTAGTCCCGCCTTAGGCACGAAAGCCGGCTGGATGATTTTAGGCCAATCACTGGGAGACGGTGAGTTCTAGTCCCGCCTTAGGGATGAAAACCGACTGGGTGATTTGAGGCCAATCATTGGGAGACGGTGAGTTCTAGTAGTCCCGTCTTAGAGATGAAAGCCGGCTGGGTGATTTGAGGCCAATCACTGGGAGACGGTGAGTTCTAGTAGTCCCGTCTTAGAGATGAAAGCCAGCTGGGTGATTGGGGGCCAATCACTGGGAGACGGTGAGTTCTAGTCCCGCCTTAGGGATGAAAGCCGGCTGGATGATTTTAGGCCAATCATTGGGAGACGGTGAGTTCTAGTCCCGCCTTAGGCATGAAAGCAAGCTGGGTGATTTTAGGCCAATCACTGGGAGACGGTGAGTTCTAGTCCCGCCTTAGGCATGAAAGCAAGCTGGGTGATTTTAGGCCAATCACTGGGAGACGGTGAGTTCTAGTCCCGCCTTAGATATGAAAACCGACTGGGTGATTTGGGGCCAATCACTGGGAGACGGTGAGTTCTAGTAGTCCCGTCTTAGAGATGAAAGCCAGCTGGGTGATTGGGGGCCAATCACTGGGAGATGGGGAGTTCTAGTCCCACCTTAGGCATGAAAGCCGGCTGGGTGATTTTAGTCCAATCACTGGGAGATGGTGAGTTCTAGTCTCACCTTAGGCACAAAAGTCGGCTGCGTGACTTTGGGCCGGTTCCCCCCCCCCTCTCTCAGCCCAACTCATCTCACAGGATTGCTGTTGTGGGGGAAAACTAGGAGGAGAAAGATACGTTTGGATTATGTTCACCACCTGGAGTTGTTTGTAAATAGTAAACAAATGACCAAATAACGGAAAAGAGGCCTGGCCCCTGGGGAAAGAGGTATTGTGTGTTGTGCCAGCTTGAAATGTGGCGCAATCTAAGGACTGCTTTCTGCAAGGAATATTGTTGCGCCTCCTGCTGGCCATGTAGATTAACATCAGTACAAAAAGCCCAAGGGTTTTTCCTCACTTTATTTCTCTCTGTTCTCCAGGCTAAGAGGGGAGAAAAAGAGGCCACCAAGCAGTCCCAGAGAAGTCAAGAACACTCCCCCCCCCCAAAAAATGGGCACAACCCAGCAAAGGGATGGGCAACTTTTAAACAGGGCTGGCTTAGGAATTCTGGGAGTTGAAGTCCACGGCTCGTAACACTGCCGCAATTGCTCACGCCCGTCACAGCGGAAAACCTTCCCCACCAACCACATCAGATCTGAATCTGCTGTGGATATTTGGGGAGGTTTTCTCTGAAGGGAAAAAGCAAAGTGGTCCACCTTCCGTGCCCCCCAGTTCAAATCCAACGGGAGAGAAGGGGATCCAAGAAGACAGGAACTAGTTTCCATGTAGCAGCTCCTCTGCAGCCATCTTGAACTGAAATAATCCCTTTTTCACAGGCACCTGAGGGGCAAAAACCTAGAACTCGGTCATCTTTTTGTGCGTGTCGGCTTTCTTCTGCTCTTGCTGCAGGCTCGCCTCCAAAACCCGCAGCTCGCCCAGCTTCTTGTGGGCCCCCGACAGCTTCTCTTCCAGCTTCGCTGTGGCCACCGTGTGCCTAGGAATCAAGAACAGAGAATCAGGAGCGGAAGGGCCATCTCTGGCTTACGACCGCTCGCTTTGCGCCTATTCAAAATGAGGACTTAAAAAAAACCCCGAGGACTCGTGACCTGGATTCGAACTGCTGACCAATGGGTCCCTCTGGGCTTCCCGCGAACCGAACTTCGGACGCTCGGCCACAGGGCTGCGTTTACGGCTGTGGGCAGCATCCCGTGCTCGTGCGGTTACATGTTATGATCGTTTTTTGCCCCCAAAACTGGAATTTATGGCTTTGGCAAAATTGTACCCGTCGCAAATCCTTGGTTTGCTTAATGACCGCAATGTTCACTTAACCACCATCGCAAAAATAAAAATAAAAAAATGTAGCAATAGCAATAGCCCTTAGACTTATATACCGCTTCACAGTGCTTTACAGCCCTCTCTGAGCGGTTTAGAGAGTCAGCCTATTTGTCCACAACGATCCGGGTCCTTGTTTTATATATCTTGCAAGGATGAAAGGCTGAGTCAGCCTTGAGCCGGTGAGAATCGAACTGCTGGCAGTCGGCAGAGTTAGCCTATAATACTGCATTCTAACCACTGCACCGCCACCCTCTCTCTCTCCCTTTCCTTCCTTCCTTCTTCCCTCCCTCCCTCCCTTCCCATTCCTTCCCTCCATCTTTCCTTTCCTTCCTTCTTTCCCTCCATCTCCTTTTCATCCCATCCCATCCTTTCCTCCTTCCTTCCCTCCCTTCGTTTTCCTTCCTTCCTTCCTTCTTTCCATCCCATCCCTTCCTTCCCTCCATTCTCCTTTCTTTCCATCCCATCCCATCCCTTTTTCCTTCCTCCTTCCTTACATCTTTTCTTTTCTTCCCTTCCTTCCCATCTCCTTCCTTCTTTCCATCCCATCCCTTCCTTTCCTCCTTCCTTCCCTCCCTTCTCCTTCCTTCTTTCCATCCCATCCCATCCCTTCTTCCTTCCTTCTCCTTCCTTACATCTTTCCTTTTCTTCCCTTCCTTCCCATCTCCTTCCTTCTTTCCATCCCTCCTTACTCCTTTCTTTTCTCCTTTCCTTTCCTCTCCCCTTCCTTCCTTTCCTCCATCTCCTTCTTTCCATCCTATCCCTTCCTCCTTCCCTCTCTTCCCTACTTCTTACTCCTTTCCTTTTCTTCTTCCTTCTCTCCCTCCCTTCTCTTCTCCTTTCCTTTCCTTTGTTTTCCTCTCCTTCCTTGTCCCCTCCCCTCCCTCTCTTATTTCACAACACCTACTGACCAAATTAGCTTCGCTCTCCGGTTTGCACAATATGCCAAATCACAAACCGGCTAGCCCGCAAAAACCTCCATCCCGGCGAGCGGCAAACAGAGTCCGCAGGTCGGGCGAATCCAACCTCTGGACCCAGGTCCGACCTGGCTAAGGGCCTACACCAGTGGTTCTCAACCTGTGGGTCGGGACCCCATTTGGGGTCGAACGACCATTTCACGGGGGTCGCCAAACAACGCAGTCCGCCATTTTTTTCCCCTTTTCCTTAGCTGTGCTACTCCCTTTTATTCTATTGGCTTTTGAAAGCCAATAGAATAGACTCTCTTGAATAGAGTCTAATTCTATTGGCTTTCAAAAGCCAATAGGAATTGTCCAGGCTGTCTCTGCCCTGCTGAGCCCGCCAAAAGTCCCATTCTGCAAACGGTGCTGCACCAGTTGAGTGGTCCTCGACTTACAACCGGTTGAGTAGTCCTCGACTTACAATCGGTTGGGGGGGTCGTAGCATTAAAAAGTTTGAGAACCACTGGCCTACACTAAAGGCAGAGACATGAGTGGCCCCCGCCACCAACCGTGGTATGGCTTTCCCGACCACGGACTCATGCACGCTTGCTTGGCCTACGTGGGACGACCCGGGAGACAGGTGTTAATCTGCCCCCACCCCGCCAGGATCAGCGGCGAAGAGCACGTCAGCCGGACGAGCCCTCTCCGCCGACGGAGGCGCTCTCCTTACCGCCCCACGTTGCGCGCCAAGGCCTCGCGGATCCCCCGTATGTCCCTCTGGGTCTGCTCGATTTTTTCCACGGTCTGGAAGAGGCGGACGCTGAGCGCCTTCTTGGTGGTCTTGCTGGCGTGGTAGAGCTCTTTGCTGGTCCTCTCCAGGGGGGGGAGCGTCCCTGCCAGCTGCCCATCAGCATCCTGGCCCTGAAGCTTCTCGTTCAGAAAATCAAAGACGTTACGCGGCTTCGGCTTCTGCTGCCGGAGCCGGGCCGCGTTCTTTCCTTTCGCCCTCCGTTTCCTGGCCTTGGATGGATCCGACTTCCCCTCCTTCTTCCTCTGCAGGATCTCCGCGCACTGGTCCAGCGATTTCCCCTTGGGGAGCACGACGGCCAATACCGGCTCAACCCTACCCTCTGAATTTTTGCCCAGACCTGCAAGGGTAAGAGGGAAGACAAGATGAAAAAAGCAGTTGAGACTCTAGAAAGAGTGCAGAGAAGAGCAACAAAGATGATTAGGAGACTGGAGGCTAAAACATACAAGGAACAGTTGCTGGAATTGGGCATGTCTAGTTTAATGAAGAGAAGGACGAGGGAGGGGGACAGGATAGCAGCCTTCCAGTATCTCAGGGGCTGCCCCAAAGAAGAGGGAGTCAAGCTATTCTCCAAAGCACCTAAAGGCAGGACCAGAAGCAACGGATGGAAATTGACCAAGGAGAGAAGCAACCTGGAACTAAGGAGAAACTTCCTGACAGTGAGAACAATTAACCAGTGGAACAACCTGCCTCCAGAAGCGGTGAATCCTCTAATACTGGAAGCTTTTAAGAAGAAACTGGACAGCCATTTGTCCGAAATGGTGTAGGGTTTCCTGCCTGAGCAGGGGGTTGGACTAGATGACCTCCAAGGTCCCTTCCAACTTTATTATTATTATTATTATTATTATTATTATTATTATTATTATTATTATTATTATTAATTTAGAACCAAATATTTTTTTAAAAAAATAGAAGGGGGTAATCTAGACATTGGGTATTTCTAGTTTAATGAAGAGAAGGACTAGACAGGCAACATGATAGCAGTCTTCCAAATTCCAATATCTCAGGGGCTGCCCCAAAGAAGAGGGAGTCAAGCTGTTCTCCAAAGCGCCTAAAGGCAGGACAAGAAGCAACCCATGGAAACTCATCAAGGAGAGAAGCAACCTGGAACTAAGGAGAAACTTCCTGACAGAGAGAACAATTAACCAGTGGAACAACCTGCCTCCAGAAGTGGTGAACGCTCCAACACTGGAAGTTTTTAAGAAGAGACTGGACAGCCATTTGTCCGAAATGGTATAGGGTTTCCTGCCTGAGCAGGGGGTTGGACTAGATGACCTCCAAGGTCCCTTCCAACTTTATTAGTATTATTATTAAGGGCGCGTGTGTGCAAGAAGAATCACAGCTGAGGCATCCATTGGAGGGGAGAGCGTCCCTGGGGGTGTACACCTTGTTTCTCTCTCCCTCTCCCAGACCCACACTTACCTTTACCAAGTTCGTAACCCATCTGAGCCATAAGTTTGGAGCCAATGCCGCGGGTGTGGGCTTCCCAGCTGCCGAAGGACGAAAGGCAAGTGGACGTCCCTTCTCCGTTCTCCGTGATGCTGCAATCAACGACTGGACACAGGAGGGAGAGAGAGATTAGAGGCAGAAAGCAGCATTCTGGGAGTTGAAGTCCATCCATCTTAATAGATGCCGACTGAGGAATTGTGGGAGTTGAAGTCCACCTATCTTAAAGCATGCTGACTGGGAATTCTGGGAGTTGATTTCCACCCATCTCAAAGGATACTGGCTTGGGAATTCTGGGAGTTGATTTCCACCCATCTTGAAGGATGCTGGCTGGGGAATTCTGGGAATTGATTCCCACCCATCTTAAAGCATGCTAGCTGAGGACTTCTGGGTGTTGAAGTCCACCTATCTTAAAGCATGCTGGCTGGGGAATTCTGGGAGTTGAAATCCTCCCATCTTAAAGGATGCTGGCCGGGGAATTCTGGGAGTTGATTTCCACCCATCTTAAAGCATGCTGGCTGGGGAATTCTGGGAATTGACTTCCACCCATCTTAAAGCATGCTGGCTGAGCAATTCTGGGAGTTGAAATCCTCCCATCTTAAAGGATGCTGACTGGGGACTTCTGGGAGTTGAAATCCTCCCATCTTAAAGCATGCCGGCTGGGGAATTGTGGGTGTTGACGTCATCAGTGCTAGAAGCAAGTGGGGTTTGTGGAGAGGAGGAGGAAGAGGATTGTGGGGTCCTTGGTGCTCTCTGAGCTTGGTGGTTTTCGGGTAGACGTTGCATGACCCAACTAGGTAACATCATCAGGGCTACGAGGGAGTGGGGTTTGCTCTCTGTTTATGTATAAGTGGCTGGCCCTGTCAATGTTGGTGGGAGTGTTCTCGGCGGTGCCTTGAGCAGGCTGTTGCTTATTGTTTGATTGTTTGACTGAGTTCTCTGCTTAAAGAAGTGGCTAGTTTTGCAAGTTCTCTGTTTCAGGCTAAAAATGCCCTCTGTGCATGAACAGAGAAGGTCAGCCTTTGGGCCCCACGTCCCAAGGGATCTGGTGCCCTTCCTCCGAAGACAAAACTCAAGCCACCTTGTAGAGCCTCAATGGCACCGTGTTTAGAATGCAGCACAGGCAGTCCTTGCCTTACGACAGTTTGTTTAGTGACCGTTCGAATTTACGACGGCACAGAAAAGTGACTTATGACCATTTCCCCCACTTACGACCACTGCAGCATTCTCCCCGTGGTCACGTGATCAAAATTCGGCCCCCTGGCAACTGATTCGTATTTATGACGGTCGCAAAGTCCTGGGATCATGTGATCCCCTTTTGCGACTTTCTGACAAGCGAAGTCGACGGGGGGGGGGGGGGGAATCCAGATTCGCTTTATAGCTTAACAACTGCAAGGGTTCACTGAACAAAGGGGGCACAACTCAGTTAACGACTGCCTTAGCAATGGCAATGTTGGGCTCCACTGTGGTCGTAAGTCGAGGACTCCCTGTAGGGTGGCCAAAGAGGGATTTGGAAGGTACAAGCAGCTGATTAGGAGCAAAACACAATCTTGCCCACATTGTGGAAAACCTTTTGGGGAAAGCATACAGTAGAAATGCCACCTTTGGTTATGTTTCCACCCATTTTTCTTCTAATTTCTTTATAACTGTAGCCTTGTTCACTTAATAATTCTATTTTGCATCGCTTTCTGGGCAACCGGTCAACTCTTTGCACCATGACTTTAATTTTATTACATTTTACAAGCTCACTAAAGGAAAGAACACAAAAAACCCCAGCCAACTGGATAGCAATCACATAACACTGACAAATGTCCTCCTCTCAGCTTCAATAACTGAATCCTGCTGTGATCTGATTGGCTCATGGCCCAAACAAGATGACACCCGATTGGCTCTCCAAACTCTCATGCTCATTGGCTACAATCCGATGAAGGAAAGCTACCTGAGATCAACCTAAGCAAGTTGTGTTTCCTTTTTCTGGTTATTTGGCTGTAACTTTTCATAGAACACAGTTCAGATAATTGAACAAACTTTGTTGCATTACATTCTTGATTAAATGATCTTTCCATTGATATAAAATTTTATGGTACTACCCCCCCCCCCAAAAGTGGTGTTATTAGCCATCAAACCTCAAAAATACACTTTTCCCAAAAGGTTTCCACAATTTTGGCCACCACTGCATGTGCAGTAACTACAGGGCACTGGAAAAGTCAAAAAAAGTTGGAGTATCTTTTACCTTTAGCGTACCCAGCGCTATCCAACTCATCGCCTTCGGACTCTGAGGAAGAAGAGGTCTCCTCACTACGGAGTGGAGGGATGACCCCGTCCCCTTCCACCATTGCCTCCTTCAGGAGCAGCGAGTCAAATTTCACCGTGTAGTAACCGTTGTCAATGTCTAAAAAAGGAGAATCGAGATTATTCATTTTATTTGCCTTCTGCCTTAATTATCGCTATAAATCACTCAAGGTGGTGTATATATATATGTATGTATGTATGTATGTATATATACATACATACAACCAAAGACCTACATACAAACACCCGCGAAAACCTCAGAAAACAAGTATGTATATACATATATACATGTGTGTGTAGGTCTTTGGTTATTCGGGTTTTCTCCCGCGTCAAATTGGAAGTGTCTTGGCGACGTTTCGACGAAGTCTCATTCGTCATCTTCAGGCTGGTGTTTTCGGCTTCATGCTTCTAGGAGCAATGTGTGATCGTAACTGTTTCTTCCTTTTAAATGCCAGTGGGGGTATGAACTGATTGGATGAGAGCTTGGCTGTGTTCTGATTGGATGGAGGTGTGTTCTGATTGGTTAGGAGCTTGGCTCCCGCCTACCAGCCATTTGGAAACCCGCCCTTATTGACAAACGAGTCCCTAACACAAAGAATGACACCAGACCCACACTCACAAATGCCACACAGGATGTCACCACCACACGTCCATGCAAAAAGCAAACCCAAACCAGTGTCCAAGGCTCTTCATACAATGAAACCCATAGGGCAGGGGTAGGCAACCTTGGCTCTTTCATGACTCGTGGACTTCAACTCCCAGAATTCCTGAGCCAGCATGGGGGAACTATGGCCCCCTCATGACTGGTGGACTTCAAGTCCCAGAATTCCTGAGCCAGCATGGGGGAACTATGGCCCCCTCATGACTCGTGGACTTCAACTCCCAGAATTCCTGAGCCAGCATGGGGGAACTATGGCCCCCTCATGACTCGTGGACTTCAACTCCCAGAATTCCTGAGCCAGCATGGGGGAACTATGGCCCCCTCATGACTGGTGGACTTCAACTCCCAGAATTCCTGAGCCAGCATGGCTCAGCTTGGAAACCTCTCCCTTTCCCCTCAGCGTGGCTGGCTCAGGAATTCTGGGAATTGAAGTCCACGAGTCATAAAAGAGCCAAGGTGGCCTACCCCTGCTCTAAGGCATGCCGAAATCAACCTCACCTGTGATTTTAGCAGCATACCAGATCCCATCCTGGTGCCTCGCCAGGCAGGCCGAACCCACAGCTAGACCACTGAGGTCCGGCTCTTCAAAGGGATGCAGTTCCTCAATGGATACCACCTGCCCGTGGGAAAACCTGCCAGGAAGAGAGAGTTTTGGTCATAAACACCTTGGTTTCAAAACACTACATCTTTATACGGGTAGTCCTCAACCACAACTGAGCCCAAAATCTTTGTTGCTAAGCAAGACACTTGTTAAGTGAATTTTTGCCCCATTTTGCCACCTTCCTTGCCCCCGTTAAGTGAACTCTTGCAGGTGCTAAGTTACTAGTTGTTGTTAAATAAATTTGGCTTCTCCCATTGAATCTGCGTGTCAGAAGGGGACAAAAGGGGGTCACGTGACTCCAGGACAGGGCAACCGTTGTAAATAACAGGTCTTATATTAATTTTTGCTCCAAAGGACCCATTAGGGCTTATTTTCTGGCTAGGGCTTATATTCGGGGGAATACGGTACTGAATGCGTCCCTCTGGCTGATAATATCTTAAGTGGAGCTTATTTTTAGGGGTGGGGCTTATATTGCAATCATCCTGAAAAATCATCTCCGGTTGGGTCTTAGTTTTTGGGGAAACATGGTATGTGTTGGTTGCCAAATGTCTGAATTTTGATCACGTGGCCAAATTGAGGACAACCTGTAGAGCAGTGGTTCTCAACCTGTGGGTCGGGACCCCATTTGGGGTCGAACGACCATTTCACGGGGGTCGCCAAACAACGCAGTCCGCCATTTTTTCCCCCCTTTTCCTTAGCTGTGCTACTCTCTTTTATTCTATTGGCTTTTGAAAGCCAATAGAATAGACTCGCTTGAATAGAGTCTAATTCTATTGGCTTTCCAAAGCCAATAGGAATTGTCCAGGCTGCCTCTGCCCTGCTGAGCCCGCCAAAAGTCCCATTCTGCAAACGGTGCTGCAAGTTGTCTGCAGTGAAGGCGAGCTGTCTGGAAGTTTCCACCCCTCCCTGCTGAGCAACTACTAAAAATGTAAGTAAAAGAGGGCCAGGGGTGGGAGGTGGGAGGCCGGTGGACGCAGGGAGGGTTGCTGGCGTGTGTGGGGCCCGGCGGGTGCCTTACCTCCCTTGGGCTGGGCCAGCTGATGGCCCAGCCGGTGGTCGGCCTGTGCCGTCTCTGCCGCTTGCCAGCTACGCCTTGGCCGGCACAGGGGGTGGCACCACACATGCGCGGCGCTCCCAGGCAGGGAAAGTCCTCAACATATAACCGGTTGGGTAGTCCTCGACTTATGACCGGTTGGGTAGTCCTTGACTTACGACCGGTTGGGGGGGGCGCGGCATTAAAAAGGTTGAGAACCACTGCTGTAGAGAGATGTCCCAAGCAGCAAAACAGTAGAACAGTAGTCTCATCATATAGATCAGGGGTCTTCAAACTCGGTCCTTTTATGACTTGTGGACTTCAACTCCCAGAATTCCTCAGCCAGTGTGGCACGCTGGCTGAGGAATTCTGGGAGTTGAAGTCCACAAGTCATACAAGGGCCAAGTTTGAAGACCCCTGATATAATTGTCCCCACAGGATGTTGCCTGCCTAACGAGACAAGTGCCTCTTGCATATATCAGGAACCCTACCCCTTACCAGTTGATCTACTTACCGGCAATTCTCTTTAAATCGACACTTGTCATCCAGGAAAAAGGGGCACGGCTTTAAAGACTTGTGAGTTGGGTAGAGGTAGAGCACTCTAACTCCGGGCCCTCCATCTTCCAAGCACTCACTACCTACGATCATAGCATTGTGGTACTCCAGGGTTCCCCAGGAACTGTAGTAAGGAGCTTTCACTTTCATTCCACTAGCTATTTCTTCCTCCTCCTCCTCCTCTTCCTCCTGTTCTTCCTCTTCATCACCCGTTCCATCTCCGTCCTCCTGCGTTGTGAATGGACCATCCTCTTCGTCTATTTGTGCAATGGCTTCCTTAAAAGCAGCATATTCGTCATCGGTGTTTGGATGGCCAGCTTCTCCAGGGCTCTGTTGAGGATGAGTGGATGAAGGCGTGGAAAGCACCTCCGGGTCCAAAGTTGAGCAAAGCTTGCTTTTTTTCACCGACAGGAGGCTGGCTTCAGTCAGTTCGATCAGCTGCCTTAAATCAGCCTGCAGCTGGATTAGATCAGCCTGTTGTGTTGGGTCCAGCCCAGCACCTAAAGCCAGGTCCACTTGCTCCAACTGAGCATTGTAAGTCTGAATGGCTGTTTCCAAGCTCTCCTCATCCATGGCTGGGCTCCTTCTTGGAGAATTCAGTTCATTTTCAGCTTAACAGGTAACCAAGAAATACAATATTTGTCCAACAATACGGGCTGCCCACTTTAGTTCATGGCTGGTGTTCGTTTGTTTTTTATATCCAAGCTTATCTCACTGCAAGAAACACAGATAATTTTATGTTTATACTAATTTGCAGTAAAAGCTTCAAACATGCTGTACAATGGCATCTAAGACCTTGAGTCGGTTACAAAGCAATATTACAGGTAGTTCTCAACTTACGACCACAATTGAGCTCAACATTTGCTAAGGGAGTTGCACCCCTTTATCCCTTTTGTCACATTTCTTAAGTATATCATGTAGTTTGTCAGCAAACCTGGCTTCCCCCACTGACTTTGCTTGTCGGAAGCCAGCTGGGAAGGTTAGAAATGATATCACATGACTCCAGGACAGTGCAACTGTCATAAGTACATGCCAGTTGCAAGCACCCAAATTTTGATCACCTGGCCATGAGGATGCTGCAATGGTCGTAATTGTGAGACCTGCTCCTGAGTCATTTTTTTTCAGCGCTGTTGTAGATCCAAGTGCTTACTAAACAAATGGCTGCAAGTCAAGAACTACCTGTATCAAAGAATTATGAAGACATCTGAAAAGCACCAAGGTATTTGTTCTGTCTTCTTAAAGAGGCAGGAAATTTGCAGTAAAATGTGCCCCCAGTGTTATGAATCCTGTCCTAAGGGGAACAAAAGACATGAAATGCCTTTTCAGGAAAGAAGGATCAACGTTTCAAAGAAAAACCAAGTTAGAAAATCCGATAGCATTTTTTTTTTGGTCAGAAATCAGGTTAAGAAAATCCAAATAGTGTCGATTAAAAACTGCAACCAAGGTATAACTCCCCCCCCTTCTTCTTCTTCTGCTACTGGTGCGCCTTTTAATGAACAGCCAGTGAAATAATTCCTGATATGAAGGGATTAAAAAGCATATTTTTAATTTCAGCACAGAAGCAACGGCAGTAAAAAAGAAGTGGCAACTCCAACTTGCCTCTGTGTAAGGAGAAAAAAATAGATGATTTTTTTTCTTTTATTGTTCTGGGCAGGGAGCTTGGGCTTCTGAGTCAGGCAGAAATTCAACCGGGAAAGCTCCAGCCCCCCCCCCAACAGGGATGGGTGGGAAGGATTTGCAAGCAGGGAGGAAGATGCCTCCTTCCAAGCTAGACCTTTCGTTTGCAGTTAACTCAGACCAGAAAGAGGGAAGTCTCAGCCCCACCGAAAGCACTGGACTCATCTCCCATCATCCACAGCCATATGGATCCCCTAGGATAGCGGACAATTGGCGTTGCAGTCCCGAGCTTCTGGACGGGGACCGACGGGAGACTTGCGAAAGCTCTCGCGCGCCACCCAAGCGAGGGAAAGCGATTCACCGGCACGACCTCCCCGCCCGAACGACGGCCAGCTTTTCCCCTTTTAGCCCCCGAGGACCGCCATGATGGTCGCGCCCCCGGCCCGAATCCACCTCCGCTTCCGGTCTTCTACAGAGGCTTCCATGACCATAGAGAGAAGCCGACCGGAAATGGCTCCGCCTCCCTCTTCTTTCCTTCCTTGTCCATGGTTCCTACCCGGCGAAGCCGACCGGAAATGGCCCCTCCTCTTTCTCTTCCCCCCCGCCTTGTTTATGGTTCGTGTCCGGCGAAGCCGACCGGAAGTGGCTCCGCCTCTCTCTTATTGCCTTCCCTGTCTATGGTTCCTGCCCGGCGGCGCGGGAGAGGGCGCGGCGTGGTGGCGCAAAGGCTCATGGGGATTGTGGTCCTTTACAGGCAGGGGAGGCCGTCGCCGGCGGGGACGGAGACTCCATTTCCCAGGCTACCCCTGCGCATGAGCAGGGGGGACTGAGGAAGAAGCCCATAAGGAAGGCGGCGAGCAGGAGCCGTTAACCGAATTCGCCCCCCTTTGTAAAGTGCCCGGTAAGTCTCTTCCAGTGCCGACCGGTGGGGAAGTCATCTGGGTGGGTTGGACCCAGAGGCGGCTTGTTGAGGTTCCTCGGGCAAAGGAACTCTGTGCATGCTCAGGGGCTCCCTTGACACTTCCCAGCAGACGTTGGGCGGCCCATACATTTACATAAATGATAACGATAATAGCAGAATATATCCTGCTGGGCTAATGTTTTATGTTCCCCTTCCAGTGGGATCTCCTGGTGGTGTCCTATCCAAATATTTATGGAGGGAGGTAACCTTCCCCTGTTTAGATGATCTCTTGGTTCTCCCACTATTGTGTAGCCGCTTTGTTGAAATAGGAATGTCGGGGGAGAGATTTCTATTCATGCTGCCTCAAAGATAGGATATAAATGTAAAACACTCTTCACATGCTCAGGAGCTCTCTTTGTCTTGGTATGGGGGGTACCTGCCTGGTATTCTAATGCATGGAGTGATGTGCCCTTTTCTAAAGGAAGTTGGAAGGATTCAGGCTCCGAATTCAGCCTAGCCCAGCTTCCCCTCTCCCAGCCACTGAAAGAAAAAAAAAAAGCTCTTTTTTTTCATTTTTGCAGGACCTAAATTTCAGTAAGTCAGGGTTCCCCCCATGCACAGACACCATTATTTGCTAACCTTCTGAGAAACTGCAACTTTAAAAAAAAGGAATAATGCATTATGCAAACAAAATTAGTTTATTAAAGTCTTAGGCCAGGACAAGCAATGTGTCCCATGTATGCTTTGTAACACTTATAAATCCATCTTGTTGTTGTTAGTTGCGAAGTCGTGTCCGACCCATCGCAACCCCATGGACCACGTTCCTCCAGGTCTTCCAGTCCTCTACCATCTTCTGGAGTCCATTTAAGCTCACGCCTACTGCTTCAGTGACTCCATCCAGCCACCTCCTTCTCTGTCGTCCCCTTCTTCTCTTGCCCTCCATCTTTCCCAACATCAGGCTCTTCTCCAGTGAGTCCTTCCTTCTCATTAGGTGGGCAAAGTCCTTGAGTTTCAACTTCAGGATCTGCCCTTCTAAAGAGCAGTCGGGTTGATCTCCTCCAGGACTGACCGGTTGGATCGCCTTGACGTCCAGGGGACTCGCAGGAGTCTTCTCCAGCAGCATAGTTCCAAGGCCTCAGTTCTTTGGCGCTCCGCTTTTCTTATGGTCCAGCTTTCACAGCCATGCATTGCAACTGGGAAAACCATGGCCTTGACTATACGGACTTTCGTTGGCAGGGTGATGTCTCTGCTTTTTAGTATGCTGTCTAGATTTGCCATAGCTTTCCTCCCCAGGAGCAAGCGTCTTTTAATTTCTTGGCTGCAGTCCCCATCTGTGGTGATCTTGGAGCCCATCTTAAAAAAAAGTAAAAGGTAGCTCCTTCCAGCTCTGATGACTTTGTAGACCAGCTTCACAACTTTAAGCTATCTTGAATTCAGCCTTCAAATGGATGCTAAAAAAAGGCCTGTTTGTAGTGTTCCAGCATCATGGGTTGGAAGCTGTTGATTCTGCCTTTCGGTTGTATTTTAATTATATTAGTTTACCATTTTGTTTGAAAACCAACTCTGACCAGTATACAATTGAAGTAGTGTAAACCCTAAGAAAGCAGACAAAACACAGATGGTCCTCAGCTGTAATTCCCTCTGGAATTATAGTTGTAAATTGTCATGGTCAATAAGCAGGTCATCACACGTCCACGCCTAATTTTAATAACCCTTTTTTGGCAGCAGTCATTAAGCAAATGCAATAGTTGTTAAGCAAATGCCAGAAGCCATTTTAAAAATGTCAAAAATTGCAGCTTCTCCGTAAAAACCCTCTTTTAAGGGTTCTAGATTAGAGGTACCCATCCTTTTGGGCACCAGGAACCGGTTCTGTGGAGACAGGTTTTTCCGTGGACCAAAGGGTGCATGATTTTGTATGCTGCCTGCATCCCACGGATGGGGCTTTGCTTGTTTGTGCGGACCAGTTGCTGGCATGCAGTGGTCCGGTGCACAGACCAGGGGTTGGGGACCCCTGCTATACCCTATACATTTATATTTTATGGCTCACGTAAGCCATCTCTTATCTTTAAACGCATCCTAAACACTTTCCCCCAAACAAATGCAACGTTTGTTTTCTAATCGTAGTAGAAGCTGAAAGTCAATGAGCATCTGAGCAGTGACGAACCTAAACGAACGCCGGCAGCGTCTCGCTTTCCAGACATAGGGGGAAAAAAAAGACTTTGAAATATATATAATTCCCCCTCTCTCCCCTCCAATTTCGACAAAACAACGTGGGCTGTGTTCAGATGCCGCATCTATGAAAGAAGCCACATCTTCTGGTTTAGAAAGCTGAATTATATTTTTTCATATACTGTGTAGGTGAGGCCTGCTACACAATAAGAAAACCACACCACCTGCCATGGGACCTTTTCTTCCCCATTAGGGTGCCGTTGTGGTTTTCCGCACCCTAAAGAGTGAGAAAGACACAATGATGAACTGAGTGATTAGCTGCATGCTGAGGGATTAAAATGTTAGGCTGGTTGTAACCATGAAGTATTTACAATTTAGCTCAACTGCTGATGACTGCCAGATCCATTCCTGCTGTTTTCTGAGCAGTGAGGCAACAATTGTGTTATTTCTGCTAAATCTGCTTTGCAAGGGAGATTCTAGCCTTGGGTTTTTCTTTTTCTTTTTTTTAATTAATTTTCTAATTTTACATTTAAATATTTGAAAAGCAATGTGGTGGCTGAGTTGGTCAACAATTCAATAACATACAAATATTCTTTACAATATCTTTTCTGATGGTTCCCTCCTGCTGATATGGGCCAACGCTTAGTTTTTCAAGGCCAGTTGAAAACTGGTAGCTGCTGCCACCTGTTGTACATGCTTCGATCATGTGTACGGTACTCTGGTTTTATACACATAACGTCTCCCTCAAGTTTGCACTTCACACTTAGTGGAAGGGTCCATGTAGCTTCCTTGACAGCAACGTAGAATTGGTTTTACTACCAATTTTTCTAGTGTGAAAAAGGTAGGCCTCTAAAATTACAGAAGAGATTATAGGCAGTCCTCCATTTATGACTGCAGTTGAGAACAGAATTTCCGTGGCAGAGGAAGGCAGTTGTTAAGTGAAAGGCACCCAATTTTACTACCTTTGTAAGTTGTGAGTTGTCAGTTATAATACCTGTATAATCACTTTGGACCAAGAAAGGCACCAGAAAGTGGGAGAATGTAAGTTCTAGTCCTGCTTTAGGCATGAAAGCCAGCTGGGTGACTTTAGGCCAATCACCAGGAGACGGTGAGTTCTAGTCCTGCCTCAGGCATGACAGCCGGCTGGGTGACTTTGGGCCAATCACCAGGAGATTGTGAGTTCTAGTTCTGCCTTAGATAGGAAAGCTAGCTGGGTGACTTTGGACCAATCACCAGGAGACGGTGAGTTCTAGTCCCGCCTTAGACATGAAAGCTGATTGTGTGACTTTGGGCCAATCACCAGGAGATTGTGAGTTCAAGTTCTGCCTTAGACATGAAAGCCGACTGAGTGACTTTGGCCCAGTCACCAGGACATGGTGAATTCTAGTCCCACCTTAGATGTGGTTGACAGTGGGATACAAATAAATAAATATAAAAGTAGCACAATACTCTGCTCACATAATATCTTAGAACAGTGGTTCTCAACCTGTGGGTCGGGACCCCATTTGGAGTCGAACGACCATTTCACGGGGGTCGCCAAACAACGCAGTCCGCCATTTTTTCCCCCTTTTCCTTAGCTGTGCTACTCCCTTTTATTCTGTTGGCTTTTGAAAGCCAATAGAATAGACTCTCTTGAATAGAGTCTAATTCTATTGGCTTTCAAAAGCCAATAGGAATTGTCCAGGCTGTCTCGCCCTGCTGAGCCCGCCAAAAGTCCCATTCTGCAAACGGTGCTGCAACACCAGTTGAGTAGTCCTCGACTTACGACCGGTTGGGGGTCGCGGCATTAAAAAGGTTGAGAACCACTGTCTTAGAAAGTCTTGGGAAAATAACCATCGCATCATTTGGTGAATCTCCAATAAGTCTCCGTTTCTTTTCATTTACGAGGAAAATTTCTGCCTAGGTTTGGACCAGGAAGCAGTATCAGGGAAAAACAGAGATTTTTTGGCTGACCAAATTTTGTCGTCTTTGTTTACAGGAGCACAATGTACACACTGCTTTCCGGGCTTTACAAGTATATGTTCCGGCGAGATGAATACTGCATCTTAATCCTGGGATTGGACAATGCTGGAAAAACGGTGTGTATCTAGGCTTGTTCGTAGGAACGGGAAAAATCTCCCCAGTTCCTCCCCTTCTCCGTGCTTGTGTTGGTTTATTCCTAGTCATAACTTCTGCAGAAGCTGTGAATGCTCCAACACTGGAAGTTTTTAAGAAGAGATTGGACATTCATTTGTCTGAAACGATATAGGGCAGGGGTAGGCAACCTTGGCTCTTTTATGACTCGTGGACTTCAACTCCCAGAATTCCTGAGCCAGCCATGCTGAGGAGAAATGGAGAGGTTGCCATGCTGAGCCAGGCTGGCTCAGGAATTCTGGGAGTTGAAGTCCACGAGTCATAAAAGAGCCTGGTATAGGGTTTCCTGCCTGAGTAGGGGATTGGACTAGATGACCACCAAGGTCCCTTCCAA